TCTCACGCTGACTAAATGATAAAATGAAGATGTTCAGGAATCTAGAGAAAATATGGCTGTCTTAGAAATGGGACAAGAAGGAATGGTGCAAATTATTCCAGAGAAGGAAAATCTGAGATACTAAGATTCAGAACGGCAGAGGAAAAGGGAAGTAAAGTGGTTCGTACAGGCGATATATAACGGCTGTCAAAAAATAATGCTCCAGAAAAAAAAATGCAACATGCATCGCCAGTGGTACAACCAGGCACGATCAATAAGCTGAAGGGAGTATGATCGAATTCGAAACGGTAAGAGTTGGCAATTGCAGAAACGAAAACCCAGTGGTTGTATTTATAACAAATACATAAAAAGATGAAGAAAAAAAGTTTATTGATCGTATCTGGTCGGGCCACCGTCGTTATATATTGCTCATTTTTTCTGGAACTGATTTTTTTCAACCAGCCATTTTATATCTCCGGAACAGATATCATATGGACATATATGAAGGTTTGGGGAAATGAAAGCCTCCAAGAAGATGCCTCAGAACAGAGGATGACCAAAAAGATTTATTAATGAGATAAAAAAAGTGACGCAGGCAATGGCAGTAAAAGCACACACAAGAGGAAGTAAATATTAGAAGCCAGAAAAAAATGCCCTGTGAAGACTGACTTCACGCAAGATGATCAAAGCGCACAGGCAATTCCTGAACATTTTTTTAATGATAATGCCTGGATATAATTTCGAACCAGCTGATTAAAAGCAGGAGAGAAAGCAAAGTTAGTTATTAGTGTATTTTTACTACTGGAAGGTTCTACGTTTCTTAGAAGAATATAGAGGACGATCGGATGCACGAATCTTAATAATAAGTGAACATTATCTGTGCTTTATAAAGTTCAGCATTTCAAAATGAATTAAAAAATATATTAAACTGTGTATCTATCAGTTTCACATATGAAACGGTTTCATTTTCTCTTTGTGTACAGCGAATATAACCTACATAACATACTGAACAGGGAAAGAGAAAAGGTAAGTTATACAATCAATTACATCACGGCAGTATCGATTACGCACATGCCTTGGGAAAAAAGTTGTGTGCACCGTCCGTTTATCTTAACTGATTATATCACACAGCTGTTTTCACTCCTATATAAAGTGTCGGTGCACCTCCATCCACACAGAACACTATTTTATCCAGCAGACTCCAGCTTGTCTCATATTTGCAAACATGAATGCACTCCGGGTTCTTGGTCTGTTGCTGGTAAGTTTGTCAGCTTCTGAATTTTACTTTATTTGTTTTTGGTTTTCACATTCCAGTGTTCATCACACATTTGTATTTTATGCTACTGTGCGCTGTGTAATCGATAAAAGGTTTATAAATGTGATTTGCTCTCACAAAGGTATGTCAACTTGCCCTCGCCATAGAGTCGGCACCGTACACCGTCGTCAACTCAGCTGATGTGCGTAAGCCACTTGTACTTTTTTTGTTGGAAGTTGTGTTCTGGAAATATGAGTGTGATTTAGTTAATAAAGAAGTAACCCCAGTATTGTACACAGTTAATAACCATGATTACTTGGCTTCAGACGTACGAGGAGCGTGTGTATCCGGCGCAAAAATGGATCACCACATCCATTCTCTCCATCTCCCACGACGAGGCCACCAGCATCACCTTCTACAGGCTCTTCGACTACATTGACGGCCAGAACGAAGATGGTAAGTTGTGCTTAATAAGTGATTGTCATCATTCATGCTATTGTAAACGTACTAAATATCTACCATGTGTTTCAGTGGATATTTATCGTATTATGGTTGTTATCGTGTCACAGGCATGAAGATCGACATGACAGCTCCCGTGACGACGCTGGTCATCCCCGGAGAAGGACCCAACTGTGAGAACAACTTTACCGAAAGCTTCTACATCCCTTCCGCCCACCAGGCCAACCCACCCAAACCCACCAACCCTGACGTGTACATCGAAGAGCGACCAGAATTGCATGTCTTCTCCAGGTGAGTTACCTTCGCTAAAATCTTCCAATCGTTGTATTGAGAGGCTGACAATACTGGTTCATACAATATACAATGTAGAATATGCAATATACTATCTACACTATATACAATACGTTGATAATACACTACATGCACATACGTCTTCTCCAATCATTGTCATGTAAGGCTAACGGAACTGGAACACTATAAAATATTGGTTCTTTGCTTCATAACCTTGTCGGTAAACACCACTGTGTGTTTTTCAGGAGGTTCCACGGGTTCGCCAGCGACCAGGACTGGATCACCAACGCCGCGCAGCTTCACGACGACCTGGTGGCAGCCGGCGAGGAAGGCGTCGACTTCCAGACCTACTACACTGTTGGCTACGACTCTCCCTTCGTCATCATCGACCGCGACAATGAAGTTTGGTTCATGAAGAAATGAGGGGACAATTCACAAGGGACGCAATGATATTATCATGCTTTGCGTGTGTTCGTATTTATAACGGGGTTTTGTAATAAATGTACTATTATTAGACCGTCGTGATTTCTTTTACACCACTCATTAATTTATTACAGGAGAGTTTCGCTCTCCTATTTAATATAAACATGGACAATTTACTTTGCAAAGGCTCTAACGACTTTGTCTGAATAACGAAACAGCGAAATTACTGTACACACAGTAAACATCAACCTCTCTATAAGCTACATTTGCAATTGCTTATTGCAATTTAGCTCTTCCTATTTGACTTTATTTACCGCATTGTAGCTTTGTAGTATCTAGAGAAATGCTTCGATTATATGATCATTCCTCCTTGACTCTGTATTATGAGGTGCACGTGGTTGTTAAACCCTGCGGGATCCATTAGTTAATGAACTCAGTTATATTGATTGGTGTCTGTCCACATTTTAACGCCTCTCTTTATTACATTTAAGATATTATAATTATGTGTCTCTGTGTGTGTGTGAGAGTTAGCTTGAGTATGAGTGTGAGTGTTTTTATGTGTGTGTGCAGGTAGGTGTTTACATGTGTATGTACAATTGCAATTTGCTTTTAGACACCGAACTAAGTATTTTTCATTCATCTTGACATTATGCATTCTTGAACTAAGGAAAATTTCCTTATTACATTGGATCAGCCACGTAATTATCAGCGGTTGCAATAGCATGATGTAATGCAAGTGACTGTGAGTGATGAAGAGCTCGTAATATGACACTTGATATCCTTCAATAATTTTTTTTCGTTTGTGCGGATTTGACTTCAGTTATGAAGATGAAACAAGGCGATTATTCCGTGTCTGTGAATTTCTGAATTTCAGATAATTAGATTCAATGACCATTTTTGATGATGACTATTCTATAGTGATTATACTAATAATAATATATTTATGTATATATATATGCAAATATATACATATATGTGTGTTTGTGTGTGTGTGCTCAGCTACACATAGAAATATCATTAAGAAATCATGCTAAACATTATAAGTCATTTTCCATCCCTTACAAGGAATAAAATCCTCATATCACAGTGAATCCATATGAACTCCGGAACGACTCTTCGAGACATGAATCAGAACGAGACAAATTGCAATACAGTTGAATTCATGCAGTAGTTCATAAACCTTTAAAAGATTGGCTCTTGATAGCGTGGAAAAAATTAAAAAAAAAAAAAAAAAAAAAAAAAAAATCACTCACATGATACATTCGATTCGGCAAGGATGCTTTTGACGAGAAGTATGTTTGGTATGAATGTCTGATTAACTGTATATAAGCATATTTCAATCATTACAAACCTGATATAATATTATATGTCTCCACTTATATTAAAAGTCAAAAGTAAATAGTCGATTGAGAGGAAAATCAAGAAATCGAGGACCACCAATTTCTGTCGTCCACTTGCCACCGAACAGGCAACGTTTAGGATGCAAAATTACGGCAACAAGTATAGGACCATTTCTCTGGGTCTCGTAAGGGATAGAGACCGTGACCGCAAATCTACTCCGTATTGCCTTGTTGACAAAACGAGAAACAAGTCGTAAACAGAGAATCAGTAGGTCGCCTTCTAAATACATATCTTTTCTTGAAATCTATACAACTGAACTGGTTTCGAATTGCATTAGTTTCCTTCTTCTTCATAGGGATAATCATAAGAACCACTTGTACAACTTGTGAATCTTTATTTTTACATATACGTATTAATATCAATAAATAATAAATAACTTGACACTAGAGTAATTGCTGATCAGTTCATATCATTCTTCATGAACCAGACTTCGTTGTTTCGGCCGATGATAACGTAGGGCGAGTCGTAACCAGCTGTGTAGTAGGTCTGGAAGTCGACGCCTTCCTCGCCGGCTGCCACCAGGTCGTCGTGAAGCTGCGCGGCGTTCACGATCCAGTCCTCGTCGTTGGCGAACCCGTGGAACCGCCTGCAACAAATACAGTATTTTATTCTATTTTACGTCAGGGTTTGTACCAGAGATTCAGTTCTCGCTTCCTATAAACTGCGTTAACGAGAAACGAACATTGAAAACAATTTACCTGGAGAAGACGTGCAGTTCCGGTCGCTCTTCGATGTAGACGTCAGGGTTGGTGGGCGTGGGCGGGTTGTCTTGGTGGGCGGCGGGGACGTAGAAGCTCATGGTGAAGTTGTTCTCACAGTTGGGTCCTTCTCCGGGGATGACCAGCGTCGTCACGGGAGCTGTCATGTCGATCTTCATGGCTGTTCAGGAGCGAAGAGAGACGCCTTGCTTCTTCCTCCCCTTCCTCGGGCTCCTTGCTAGTTTGTATAGCTATTTCGGAATCACTTCTATTTATGTAGGTATCTCTGTATGTTTTCTTTTTGTCACACAGGAAATACGAGTACGTTTTTTTATTATATATATATATATATATATATATATATATATATATATATATATATATATATATATTATATATATTATATTATATATATATATATACATATATATATATATATACATATATATATATATATATATATATATACATATATATACATATATATATATATA